GGAAAACCTGTAAAACTCTCTGTGATGGAGTCTTGTGCTGTTTTCCCTGATTGCTGTGTTTGGTGTGTCTCCAGCTCAGGACACTTATTTGGGTGCTTATCAACATCAAAAACAGTTTTTATGAAACATCTGTGTTTCTACATTTGCATTGGGGCACAACACGGCCTCTTCTGAGGGAAGTCCTACCCCACAGGGAGAAGGAGCATGTTCCTGAAATGGTCTCTCTGTTGTGGCCTGCTTATCGCTGCAGGAATGAATTATCTTCCTAACATCGCTCATTTGACTGTCACTCTTCTAATTAGCTCATTTGCTCCATTTACTCATTAGCAGTTGCCTGAAGTCCTGCTGTACTTTCACGGCTTAACGCTTGCTTGCAAGTGGATTTGGGGACTGAAGCCACGTGGCAAAATGTGGTCAGCTCAGTAGTGCTGCTTTCCAAAGAGCAGGCAGCGTTTTGTGCAGAGGGCTGTGTTGCCCCCCATCCTGTGTTTGACTTGTCCTGGTCCTTTCTGTCTCATCTTCCTCTTCTGAAAGATGATGCTGACAGGTGAATGCAGTGGTGCGATACCATCGTCAGAAGGTCAAGGTGCTCTTGTGTACAGGTGTGCTGTGTTGAAGCAGCCCACCCCTGCCTGGCAAACCTGCTTCCTGCCTACACTCAGCTTTGCAACCTGCAGACACAATAGGCCCAGTTTAGCACTGAGCCCTTGTCAGCGGCCTGTCTCTAAGTGACGAGTGTCTTTCCCTTCTGCATTTCCTGGCAGATGCTGATGTTTGTGATATTCTTCTTGTTGAGGGTGATACAGGAAACAAAAGAAGTTGAGTTCTGTCTTGATCCTAGGATGAATTATGCAATTGGTCATTAGCTGAATCACTGCTTAGCTTGTAAGTGGAATTTCAAACTTGCTGGAAGCCACCAGCCAGGTGAATGCACACATGCTCCCACCTTTAGGGTCATTTTCCAATGTGATCCAGCACGTACCTGCAGCAGTGTGTCCATATGACCTATAGTTTGTCTGGAAGGACCACGGTGCTGCTGGGATGAGAGACCTCAGTGTTATTCTCTGCACTCTGTCTCCTGATCACACTTGTTGCATGCTGGGACAGCAGGTTGACCTGTTATTCCTACTGCTAAATGCAGAGGATGGATAGTGCAAACCCCTGTTAATACCCCTAGGAAAGGACAGAGAGCTACCAAGTGGAAAGAGCTTTCTCGGGGAGGACGACTTTTTCCTGTCTGCCGCTGGTCCCCGTACAGATAGAGCAGATGGAAGAATCACCCCCATCCTGCCCATCTGCCCGGGCGTCCCGGTCAGAGCCCGGCTCTGGGCACTGGCAGCTGCAGAGCAGGGCCGTGCTCCAGACGCCGGGGCCGTGCGGGCGTTGAGGGCTGCGCTCTCGCTCTGACAGATGGTGTCGAGAGACCGTCCAGGCCCAGGGCGCCGAGGAATGACCCATATTCCTGCACGCGTTTCAGGTCCCAAAGCTTGTGTTTCACGAACAAGATTGCAGATATATCAGCCAAAGTAAGCTGCCCCTAGCCATGCTCACACCAAGTGACCATCTTCCGTCTCTCCTGTATTTCGGTGGTCAAGATATCAACCTCCTGGAGAAGGAGGGAGCTGGGGAGCAACTAGTAACGCGTGTCTGCAGGAGCGCTTGGATTGCCATGCGAGGAGTTTTGTAACAGATGAAGGAGCAGTGACATGCCATTTTTCAGAGGCTCAGTCACTCAGGGATTCAATCTGTCTGTAAGAGCAAAGTTGCCCCTGGTTGGCTGGGGGTAATTTATTTCCAGGCTCCTTGCAGTTCTCCCAGGGACTGCAGCAGTCAAACCCCGAGGATTTGAGACCATTTGTCAGAGGAAGTTGCTAATGAGCAAACATCTGCCTTACATCAGACTGGTGTCACTGGTGCTATTATGGTGGCAAGGGCAGGTGTCAGGAAGGTATCAGATTGGACTCCTTGCACTATGTATCCTTGCCACAGCCTAGAGAAGTATTTTCACAATGATAGCCAAGCTGTTTCCAACCTCTGTGAGGGTCATGAGCTGCCAACAGGGCATCGGAAAGGGTCCTGGATGCAAAACAGCACAGGATGTTTAGCATCTTGATAACTTGAAAGATGGGATGTTGCCTTGTGCTCCAGGAGGAGCATAAGCCCTTTCTTTATAAGGGACTTTCTGTTATAAGGGATTTGGACCCAAGCTAGCCTTGCACCACCAGGCTGGCGTGCTCTGCTGTCAAACCCGGATGCCTTTCTACCTCCTGGCACTGCAGGGACCTTCCTTCAGTGGCCAGGCGTCCTCCCACCCGGGAGCCTGACTTCAGCACCCTTAGACACCCCTGCAGTATTATGCTTTTCTAAGCACAAGCTGCTCATCCTGCCCCGCGCCAGCCTCCAGGGCGCGGAAACGCAGCACGGGGAGCGCGCGCGTCTCCCTGCGCAGCCGCGCCGAGCCCTGTTCAGTGGGAGCTGAGCTAATTGAGTGGAGATCGTGCTTTGTGGAGTCCATCAGAAACAATTTAGTTCTGGGTTGTGGAAATTGGCAGCCATCAGAGATCCTATCCCAGCTCTTGGGTCTCATAATAAGGCTGGGACCAATGCTGCTTTTTTTAACCTGCTCTATTTACTTGCCCGGATCAGTGCGCTGCAGCTCAGCAGGAGCTGGCTGTGCCGCTGGGCTGGAGAGCGGAGGAGACAGCTGCCCAAACCGTGGATCCCAAGGCAGCTCTGTAATCAGAGCCAGCTACTCCTGTTGTTTTTAAATCTTTTGCTCTTATTTTTAAACGGGTTCATTCAATCACCACCGTGCCATGACCCCAGGGCAACCCCGCCGACCTGCCCGCCCTCCCCTCCCCGTTGGGCTCTGGCCCTATTGTTTTCCCAGCCCCGAGGGCTGGTGTTTCGCAGATGTAAAAATAAAGGCTGTAACGTGTGATAACAGGGGTGGCGTGGCCAGGCGAGGCTCCCGTTGAAGAGGCTGCTGGGCAGCGCGGGGCCGGCACAGGCCGGGGCTTGGCGTAGCCGGGGCGTCCGGCCGCACCGCTTCCCAGCTGCCGCTGCGGAAGGAGGTGAGGGGCATCACAGCGGGGCCGGCTCCTGCACGGAGGTGAGGAGGGAGCTGCTCGTGCAGGCAGAGACCAGGGGTGTGCAGAGCCTGTGGCCTCAACGGGGCCAGTACGGAGTCTGGCGCAGGAGCTGCTCGTCGGGAGAGCATCCGCTGTCGGATCGTGGCTGCTGCAGCAGTTACCTTGTGTCTGTGCAGCTGAACGGGACGGTGGGTGAAGGACCATCGGCTGCTTGGCTCGGAGCAGCTGGATCCCCCATCTCGCAGGCACGGATCCCTGCAGGCTTGAGCAGAGACCTGCACCATCCCTTCATCTTGTCCTTCAGGAAAATGTGGCAGGAAAGCCCATCAGGGAACATAAGGATGAGCTGATGGGACTGATGGTTCATCAGCAATGCAGGGCCGGTGTCTCTTAGGACAGAAACAGATCCATGTCATCACTCAAGGATAGAAGGACAAGTTCTCTGCAGCACTGTAAAACTCTCCTGGCTTTCACTGCCCAGCAAAGCTGCCACACACGGGGATGCAGGAAGGTTTGCATCCATGCTCACACCCTTCCCTTGCTTCCCACCGCTTCCAGATGGCTCTGTACTTCTGCACCGGAGTCCTGGAGGACGAGACCCTCTTCCGCCACTATGCCCTCAACGTACCCTTCTACACGCACTTCACGTCGCCCATCCGCCGCTACGCAGACGTCGTCGTGCACCGGCTCCTCTCGGCCTCGCTGGGTGAGTGCTGCTCGGTGAGGGCCGCGCTCTGCCGCGTGTCCCGGTGCCACCTGGCAGCTCTGGGCACCGGGAGGGCAGGCGGAGGCTCTGCCCGGCCCGGCGGGACTCCTGGCCTCCTGTTTTGCCTGCCATAGCTGCAGGAGACCTGGAGGCTGCTTCCCACTGGTGCAGCTCCCTCACGTGGGGATGCCCGTGACCCGGCAGCGGGACAGGGGAGAGCTGGGTGTCCAAATTCAGGCTGTTATGGGGCATGTCTGCAATGAGAGGGAGGACGGGCCCCTCACCATTGCTCGTCTCGCTCCCAGGCACCAGCCCTCCCATCAAGATGGAGAAAGATGCCATCCAGCTCCAGGCAGACCACTGCAACGACCGGAAGATGGCTTCCAAGAGGGTGCAGGAGCTCAGCGCCGACCTCTTCTTTGCCATCTTTGTCAGGGTAAGAGCTGTGAGTTCCCCAAAGCATCTTCGGGTCTCCCCATGAAGGCCCAGCTGAGACCATCCATTCCTTGGGAACACTGTCGTATGGGGCTCCCTGTGGGGATGGCTGGATGTGGGGTGCTGCTGTAGTGACAGCGCTGTCTCTTGACAGGAGTGTGGTCCTCTGGAGTCAGAGGCCATGGTGATGGGTGTCCTGAACGAGGCCTTTGATGTCCTGGTGCTGAAGTTTGGAGTACAGAAGCGCATTTACTGCAATGTAAGTGCCTCGGTCTAGCTGGTTGCCTCACGCTCACGCAGCCTCCCTGGAGACAGCCGCAGCACAACTGGCAGCAGCCTGGGCTGTCGGAGCAGGCAGCAAATGTCCTGGGGTCCTCTGGGGGAGCCCTGCTGCCCCAGAGCTGATCCGGAGCTGGGACGGCCACAGGGGTGGGAGCCAGGGGACAGGTGAGGAAACTGCAGCCTCTGAGAACAGAGCCCAGGCAGAAGCTCCCCCGTTGGCTCTGCCTGGCATTTCTGCTGACAGCAGAGCATGAGGAGACAGAGAGATCTGGAGCCACCCGGTCTCTGAGACCAGCTTCTCCCCACTCTGTTTTGTGGGTTATCTCATCCCGGAAAAGGAAATAAAGGCAAGTTTGTGGGGACAGAGATCAGCATGGTCTAAAGCAAGGAAAGGGAGCAAGGCTAGTTTTCATTTCACTTAATCGCACAGTGCATCTAGGACTATGACAGCTCCACTGTAGGCCAGCACCTGCAGTTAGTGGCAGCATCTTTGCTTAATAACCTGGTTATACGGCTGACGATGACATCTTTAAACAGGATATACAGCGTGATGTATGGGCGGTTTGTGTATCGCAGCCACCCCTGATTTACATGCTCAGCTCACACTCATGGGCTGCAGCACGCTGGCTGTTGCAGAGCTGCAGAGGGCTTCATGCAGTGCCCTGGGCAAAAGCAAATCCGTGTCGAGGACAGTGGCATGGGGAGGTGTCACTGGGGGAGCAGGACCAGGGGTACAGGCTGTTCCCAACGTGCTTCCTGCCTGCAGGCACTGCCCTTGCTGGGCTTCCAGTTCCAGAAGGTGGGCAGGAAGCCGGAGCTGACACTCATGTGGGAGCCAGAGAGGCCGGAGCAGGAGGCTGTGTCCCAGGTAAGGATGCTCACAGTGCTAGGAGCAGGAGTGGAGGCCGTGTCCCACACAGGGATCCTGTGCTCTCTGCAGGGCTGCATCTGGGAGGCCTCATCACCTCCTGGGCCGGGGGGTCCTGCTGCCCTCCCCAGCAAACCCGACCTCGGCCTTTCCTGTCCCATCAGGGCTTGTCCCCAGCCCTGCTCCGTCCCCCGGCTGGCCCGTGCCTGACCCCTCTGTGGCCTTCAGACTCTGCCCTGCCTGCTGTGTGCACTGCCTCCCAATTTAGTTTCCTTCATGAATTTAATTAACATGCTGTTTACTTCCCTCTTCCAGATCATCAATTAAGATGTTAAATAAGATCAGGCCTACGGCGGCTCCTGTCTAGGCCCTTCCCCCTGTTTTGGCATTTCTTTCCTCCTCCGTGGCGCAGCTTTCCCATTAGGTTTCCATCCATGTGACAGGACAATTGCCCAATTAGAAGGAATTTTTTAAGTCAAACTTCCTGAGTTGTGGTGTCAAATGGTTTAGTATCATCTAGCTATCTTTCTCTTGTGTCTCTGTCATCTATTAACTCGGTAACTCAATCAAGGGAGCAATCACATTTGTCTGACTTGATTAAGTGGTGCCTCTTTGCCAACTTTTGTCTGGTGTTGCTGTAAAATCACAGCTGTGTTGATTGCTGGTGATCTCTGCTTGGCTCCTGGTGGAGACAGGAGATTTGAATCCAAATCTGTTCCTGCACAGATCTGTGCTCTGGGTGGCTCCGGGTTTGAACCCCATCTTTCCAGCCCAGCAAAACTCTCTGAGTTTGCAGAGCCAGGTGTCAGTGTGGTCAGCCCTGGAGGTTTCGCACACAGGGCTGGAAAGGGATGAAAGGGACTCTCGATCCAGGGTCAGGCTGACTCTTCCAGCTGATATGACACATGTCCTTCAAAATTCCTTCCTTTCCAAGGAGGATCTTGCAGGCGTGGAGAGGTCAAAGTCAGCAGAGCTCTTCAGCTGCTGGAAGCCTTCCTGCAGGACTGGCCTCCCTTTGGAGCCGAGCTTTCTTTTCTAATCTTGCTTGGCTCAAGGAGCCCTCTGGACACATCCCGAAGTGGCCTTGGTTCCTCCTTTCCTACAGGAGCAGGTATTACTTACACACTAGCAGGGTCCTGCATGAAAAATGATGCCCCAGCATGAGCAGGGCCCATTTTGGTTAAGTAAACACTTGGCGATGGAGGAAACTCCTCCACGAATCCTCCACGCCTCCTAAGAAAACACTGGAGCCTTCTCCTGGGAGCACGCGCTGCGCCGGCCTCCGAGCCAGCGGAGCCCTGAGTCAATAAATCTCCAAGGCCGGGACCAGCCAGACCCTCGGAGAGTTGTGCTGAACCAGCGAGAAATGTCACTCTGACATCCCGTGGTGCGGAGCACCCCTTCTCCCCGCCTGGCCCCCGCGCTTGGCACCCGCTCCCCAGCTTGGCTGAACCCAGGCAGCAGCGGGAACATCTGGGAAGGCTGTTTGCGGAAAGCCGTGCCGCGCGCCGCGATCCGGGCCGGCCGGCCCCGCTGCGGAGGGGAGCGTGGGCTCCTGCCCCACGTGTTCCCCCCTTCCCTTCCCCAGCTCCGGGATGCTGTCAGGATATTAGCAGTTGTTAGGGCTTGGCTATGAAGTGGATCTCGGAGGCAGAGGGTTTGATGCGGGATCAGGCAGCTCCTGGCAGTTCAGCAGAGGGATGAGGCAGGATCTTGCAGGCGAGCCCTGCTGGGGGCCTGGCCCCATTCGCTCCCCCAGGCTTGGGGGCTTGCCCCATGGCCACAGCCCCATGCACGTGCTGAGCGGGCAGAGGGAATTGCTGCTGTGGAGCAGACGCGTTCGAGCCGGCCAGGATAGCTGTCTGCAAGAGGAGTTCCCTGGAGTTTGCTCGTCACCAGCCACTGCAATACTGTGAAGACTCAGTGAGGTTGTCCTGCTGTGGATGTTAGTGTGGAGTGGCAGGAGCTGCCTGGCCCAGCCTGGGTCACCCGCGCTGGCTCTGCGCTGGCTCCTCGTGGCATCGGGAGCAGATGGCCCCACTGAGCGCCGCTGCGGAGCAGGGCCTGGGGACATGGTCCTAGGGAACACAGACATCAAGAGGCTGACCCTGCAGGTGCCGAGCCGTGGCCCTGCAGTGGTGACACAGGCTGGCTGGGATGCGGCTGCCTCTTGCTCCCTCTCTGCATGGAGATAATCCTATGACCTCTGCAGAAGGGGCTGCGTTGGCCCCTCTTGATGTCCCAGCCAGCCCGTTAACCACTGTGAGCAGAGCTGATCGATGCTTCAGGTTTCTAATCTGCACAATTGCATGCGTAGATTGATTCAGAGGGCAGGGGAGGCAGTGGCAGGCAGCAGTGCATTCCTGAGCAGGAGGAATTGATTTTCTGGAGTCTTTATTCCCTTGTGTCTCATCCAATACGCTCCCAGCCCGGGTCCCCTCTCACTACACAGTCAAGAGAGGTCATTACCTCATTGTGGGGATGCTGAGAAAATGCCTAAGATCATTTGGAAAACCCTTCTCACTGCTGCTCTGCTTTGGCGCTTGGCCAAGTCACTTTAATAAGTGATATTCTGCATTTTCTGGATGGAAGTGAGGCACAGACGGGCTTTAGGGGAGACTGGGACCTAAAGACAAGGGCAGAGTCACACACTGTCCTGCGCAAGAACAAACTGGGGGCCTTATTGAGCTGGCCTAAGTGCAGAGGTGGTTTGAGAGGCTCCCTTGGTCACTCTGGGTTTCCTGGGTCTGCCCTGCGCTGCTGCCTGTGGAGATGCTGTGTGGGCCAACAGGAGCCGCAGCGGCACAGACCTGCTCAGCCCCGGCTCCATGAGCACCTCCATCCCAGCAGAGTGTCCCAGGTTTTAGGCCATCCTGCCCCCTTGCCCATCTCTTTGGGGGATGTTGCAGAAGGGGCAGCAAAAGCCAGTGCGGCTCTAACCAAACCCTGGGTCGGCGCTAATCCAGAACCCCCCTTCTCTCTCTGTCCGCCTCGCTGAAGGTGATCACCATTTTCACGCTGGTGGACGTTGTGCTGAAGTCAGACGGGGTCCCGCTCAAGTACAGCGCCGTGATGAAGAGACCGGGCTCGGAGAAGTGAGTGTGTGCGGCCTCCGCTAGCGCCCTGCTGCCAGCAGTTTGTCACCAGCCAGGCCGTACCTGCCGCACGGACACCCACGGGAGATGGAGAGGACTGATAAGGGGTTCAGCATTTTGTTTTTTAACCCAAAGGTATTTTATTTCTGGTTTGGATTTTAACTTGGCCTGTCAGACTGGGAGCAGGGCTCAGGGCCTGAACCTGCCCTCGGACAGAGCCTTTCTACTCTCAGATATTTTTAGCTTTACGTTTTGGGGATTTTTTTTTAAGGCAGTGCATGAACATCCCTTGTGTCCTTGGGTGCGTGCAGCGGGGGCCGCGCGGGGACTGGCGTCCCCGGGAGCAGAGAGGGGCTGCCACGCTCCACGCTTGGCTCCAGGCTCCCATTGGCCTGACGTGGGAGGAGGCCGAGGGGCCGCGCGAGAGGGTTTCGTGCTGGGTTGTGCATCATGTAATAAAAGCCGGGTCAGCAGCCGTGTGGGGGACTGCGTGCAGGTTTTATTTGGTCTCCTCCGCGTTCCCCAGCCAGGAATCCGAGCAATAACTCATCTCCCGGGCAGCCCTGTGCCTTCCCCTGCTTGCCGCTGCCCGGGCGGTTGTGAAATCCAAGCGGCGCCGCCCGCCTCCCCCCAGCCCCGTGTTTGCTCAGCCGGAGGGTGGGGGATCAGGTGGACGTGTGCGCTCCCGGCTCGCGCTCCAGCGGCTAATCCCGCGGGCTTGTCCTGCACCAGGAGCTCGGCGGTCGGCGCCCGGCCCCCCAGCCGAGTCCCGCTCAGGGTCCCTCCTGCCGGAGATGGGGCTGTCCCGGGCTCTGCGCCCGCCCCGAGGCCGCACTTCGCCTGTTTCGACACTCGCGTACAGATCATCCCAGGACACCGACAAACACGTGCCACGTCCTCGCTTCTCTCGTCCATTCGATAGAGCAAGCGCCCAGCACCTTCCCCGCGCTGGTCCCGCTGCTGCCCCCATGTTCCCCATCCACTCTGTCCCATACCAGCCTTCACCCGGCTGCCACCACAGCTGGTGGTCACCGTGGCCAGAGGCTGGCACTGGCCTGCAACATGGCCACATGGCTGAGAGGAGACCAAGTCCTTCCCTGCAAGCTGGAACAGCTCTCAGACTCCTCTCCCTTTTCTTCCTGGCTGATCAGTGTCTATAAGTACCTCAAGGGAGGCAGTGAGGAGGATGGTGCTGGCCTCTTTTCAGTGGTGGCCACTGACAGAACTAGAGGAAACGGCCAGAAACTGAAACACCAAAAGTTCCACAGGAACTTAAGGAAAAATTTCTTGACGGTGAGGGTGACAGAGCACTGGAACAGGCTGCCCAGAGAGGTTGTGGAGTCTCCTTCTCTGGAGATCTTCCAAACCCGTTTGGACGCAGTCCTGTGCCACGTGCTCTAGTGACCCTGCATGTGCCGGAGGGTTGAACTAGATGACCTCTAGAGTTCCCTTCCAACCTTAATGCATCTATGATTCTATGATTCTATCCCAGCATCCTGGCAGGTTTGTCTGCAACTTTGTCCCCTGGGAAAGGGGACCTGAGGACATGGATACCAAAGGTGAGGTGTCCTGGCCCTGCCCATCAGCCCAGTGTCCTCTCTCCTTGGGTTCGTGCACTATCTCTCCAGGGAAACAAGCTAAATCCAGCCGGGTCCAGCTCCTGGGCTCAGTGTATCTCCAATAACAGCCCTTTGCCCTGCGCCCTCCGTCCCTGCCCGGGGTCCCTGCAGAGGCGGCCTGGCCAGCACGGGAGGCCCCGCCCCAAACTGCCACAGGGGCCCAGCCTGCCCCAGGGCCAGGCTGAAGGGCCTCCAGCCCTGGGGGGTTGGTCCCAGCGAGGCCTGGGGACACGGGGAGGGTCCTGGGCAGGGCTGGGACACAGTCCCTGAATGTTATCAGCCCCATCGTCTCGCCCACAGCGGGGCTCAGCCCTCCGGCGGGACAGGGGAGGGCCATACAGGGCCGGGCGGCGGTGCAGGAACATGGAGCGGCCGCTCTCCCCGCGGAGCTGCCTCCTCCTCTGCCTCCTCGCCCGGCTCTCGGCTGCGGCCTCAGGTGAGAGCTCCAGCGGGGTGGGAGGGTGGGAGCCCCAGGAAAGGAGGTGCTGGGGTGCCCTGTGACCTCCCCGGGGGGCTGGTGGCCAGCGGGATGGGACTACCCTCCCCCGCCGTAGGGAGTTCGCCCCAAGCACCAGGGGAGGAGCAGCCCTCTTGGACTCAGGGGGCTTTGGGAGCCCAGCCTCTGAGGGGGTTGTCTCAGCCCTGACCAAGCCATGCTCTGTCCCGGCCGTCCCCAGCCCTGCAGCCCCCTAATGTCCCCCTCATTGCTAGGATTAACCAAATCGTTTGGATGAACAGCCGTGGCTAGTCATGGTTTCCATAGCGCACTTGCTGCACGGGACTGGCACTTGCGTGGCCTGTTCCCTCAGCAGAGAGGTGTAAGGCACTTTCCAACCAAGCCATGCCTCAGTTTCCCCCTCTACAGACGGACACAGGACAATGCTGTGGTTGCCAAAGGCCTGGCTGATCCCCAAATGGTTCCTGGTCCCTCCAGGGCCCCTAGAGAATAGGACTAAGTGGGCTAAATTCACTTGGGTGGCCATGCCCCCTCTGGTCCCCCAGCGGGACTTGTCCTGAAGACGCTCAGGGAGCCCAGGGCCATGGCGGTGCCACCAGCACTGTGCTCAGCATCCCCTCGAGCCCCCTGCTTGCCTCCAGGCACTGAGAAGACGCCAGACTACTGGAATGAAGGGGCCAGGAGGAGGCTGGAGTTGGCCCTGGCTTTGCAGCCTATGACGCAACGAGCCAAAAACATCATTCTCTTCATGGGTGACGGTGAGTCCCCCAGACCAGGGACCTGATCTGTCTCAAAGACCCTCCTGGTGCCCAGCTGGGAGCCAAGGCACAGAGCCAGCCCAGGGATGGCTCTAGCAAGACATCTCCAAAGCTGTGAACCATAGCAGGGTGCCAAATGCATCAGCTCACTCTTGGTGGGGCAGGGGGGAGGTCCATGCAACAAGGGGCGAGTTGGTACCTGGAGTCCTTAAGGAAACTGGAGTACGTCGGAGCCTTGGGGAGGGAAAAGCGGGGGACTTTACTCATTCCCCAGTTCCCTCATCACCTGTACCCTGCGGACAAGTCTGTCCTCCATCTGACACCTCTCTCTTTTTGTCCTTATCCATCTCCTTGATTGTCCCAGTCTTTGGGCCTTGACTCCATACAGGGCCTCAGTGCCCAGGGCCATTGCTCAGCCCTTCTCGGAGGCTGGTAGCTCAGAGCAGCAGCAACCGTGACACCAGAACCCTGGGTCAGCCCAGCTGTGCAAGCCACCTGGAAGCTGGGTTTGTAAGCCCAGGTCCCGGTCTTGGCCCTTTGCCACCCTGCAGCTCTGCTGTGCCCACAGGCATGGGGCTGCCCACAGTCTCTGCAGCTCGGATCTACCAGGGGCAGCTTGCTGGTGGCTCAGGCGAAGACAGCGTCCTGGCCATGGAGACCTTCCCCCATGTGGCGCTGGCCAAGGTGAGTGGGGCAGTGCCGGTGGTGGCACCTGTGCTACCCACTGCTCCAAACACTCACCCCCGCTGGCTTGCAGACCTACACCATCGACCGTCAGGTGCCCGACAGCGCTGGCACAGGCACTGCTTACCTGTGTGGGGTGAAAACCAATGCCAAGACCTTGGGGCTGAGCGGAGCAGCTGTCTATGGCAAATGCCACACCACTTTTGGCAATGAGGTGGACTCCATTCTGCACCGGGCCAGGCTGGCAGGTACAGGGCCCTGGGTGCCCCTGTCATCTTGGTGGGTCAGTTGGGATCGCTGTCCACCTGGCTGTAAACCCCAACCCATGTTGCAGGCAAGTCTGTGGGCATCGTGACAACCACGCGGGTGCAACATGCGTCCCCCGGGGCCACCTACGCCCACTCGGTCAGCCGGAGCTGGTATGCTGATGCCAACATGCCCAAAGAGGCACTGCAGGACGGCTGCAAGGACATTGCCTACCAGCTGGTGCACAACACGGACATCAATGTGAGCTGGGGAGTCGGGCTGGTATCACTCTGTGGGGGATGTCAGTGACCGAGGGACTTGCAGAGGTGATCTGTGAGCTGCAAGGCTGGGACCTCCAAGCAGTGGCAGTGCAGGTCATAGTGACCTTGGTCCCCTGGCAGGTGATCCTGGGCGGCGGGCGGATGTACATGACACCCAAGGAAACTCCGGATCCTGAGTACCCGGGTGACCCAGCACAGAATGGCATCAGGAAGGACGGCCTTGATTTGATCACCAAGTGGCTCAGCTCCAAGGAGGTACCCAAGCTGTGGCAGAGGGGAGCTGTCCCCGGGCACCACAGGGTGGGTATGAGCTATCAGCACCGTGTCTGTCCTTGCTGACAGGGTGCACAGTATGTCTGGGACAAGAAGGGCCTGGATGCTGTCAATGACTCCGTGAGCCACCTCATGGGTGAGAGCATCACTGCCTTCATCGCAGGCAATGACACCTGCAGGACACAACCTGTCCTGGGTGCTGTGACATGCTACCTACCACTGTCCCTTGCTCCACTCCCCCAGGCCTCTTTGAGCCCAAAGACATGAAGTATGAGCTGACCCGCAACACCTCCACAGACCCTTCCATCGTGGACATGACGGAAAAGGCCATTCGCATCCTCCGCAAGAACCCCAAAGGCTTCTTCCTCTTTGTGGAAGATGAGTAGCCCCACGCAGCCTCAAGTGGGGGCAGAGAAGGCAGGATGCGGGGCCTGGGTGGTGGGCAGGTGTCTAGGAAATGCATGGTGGGATGTGGGTCCCCAGTGGTGGGTGGGCATCCCCAGGGCCGAGTGCAGCAGGTGAGGCTGTGACAGCCGCGTTGCCCATGCAGGTGGCAGGATCGATCATGGCCACCACAGCGGCCGGGCGAAGCAGGCGCTGATGGAGACCATCATGCTGGATCAAGCGGTGGCGCGGGCAGGCGAGCTCACAGACCCTTCCGACACCCTCACAGTGGTCACAGCCGATCACTCCCACGTCTTCAGCTTTGGCGGCAACACACTGCGTGGCAGCTCCATCTTTGGTGGGTGCTGGCGAGGGGCAGCCCGTCTCCCTGCTCTGGTACCTCCATTTTGCTCCCACTGGAGGCTAGACCAGGTGGGAGTGCTTGGGAGAGGCATCTGGCTGGGATAGGGAGGTGACTGTGCTTCTTCCCAACCCCGGTGCCAGGACTGGCCCCCAAGAAAGCCAAGGACAAGCGAGCCTACACCAGCATCCTCTATGGCAACGGGCCTGGCTACAGCATCCGTGACGGGGGCCGCCCAGCCGCCAGCCTCCCTGCTGCAGGTAGGAGCTGAGGGAAGGCCGTGGGGAGGCTGGGGAGCTGCATCCCACAGCCACCCTGGCCACCTGCGGTCCCAGGGTCACCGGGGCAGGAACTGGAGACCCAGGACCAAGGGCGCTGTTGCCTCAAGGCAAGTTGCTGCCACCCAGCCCCGTATTTCTTGCCTCCTTCCAGAGGACAAGGACTACAAGCAGCAGGCGGCCGTGCCCCTGGAGACAGAGACACACAGCGGTGAGGATGTGGCCGTGCTGGCCAAGGGCCCCATGGCGCACCTCTTCCACGGCGTGCAGGAGCAGCACTACATCGCCCACGTCCTGGCCTACGCCGCCTGCCTCGAGCCCTACGCCGCCGAGCCCGCCTGCAGCACGTCCCGCAGGGCGTCCCGCAGCCCCCGCTGCTCCCCACAGCCCCTGCTTGCTCTCCTGGCCCTCTGTGTGGCCTCGTACCTGGCAGGGGGCTAAGAGCAGCTGCCCCCCCACCATCCTCATCTGCAGTCTTGATGGTCAAGTCCCCACTGTGGTCAGCCTCAGGGAATGCAATAAAACTCAGGTCACTCAACTTCATCTCCCTTTTGGGGGTTTGCAGCTTGGTCACATCTTAAGGAGTCACACGTGCCTCCATTTCCCTTGTTGGTCATGGCTCATGGGACCTGCCAGGATGCCTACAACCCTGATGGCATCAGGATGAACAAAGGATGAGGAAAGGTCCTGTGTCCCCAGCCTCAGGCCTGGATGCTGGGAGCTCTTCCACTGCAGGATGGTTGCAGGGAGCCCACTGGGCCTCGAGCTGCTGCAGCAGCCTGGGACAACCTACACAAGGGTTGGCACCATCCTGGCAAGGGGCAAATGAGCACTCTGAGTCCATATGAAGGGACTTTGTTGCTCGGTGCACAAGCAACCCCTCCAAGAAGCTCTCCTGGCACTCTCACTGCCCCATGGCCAGCGCTCAGCCCTGCCAGCTGCAGTGCCCTGGCCAGAGCATCCCCACCATGAGGGGATGACCCTGTCACCTCCTCACCTGGCCCTTGCTGAATGACCAAGGAGCCAAATAGCCCTGCCAGACATTGCTCATCCTCACAGTCCTTTGGCCTCTGTTTTAATCTCAAATCCACCCAGCCATTTCTCAAGCTATTAGCAAAATGATAATGAGGTGTCAGTAGCCCATCCCCATGGCCTTTGTGCTGTCTTCTCAGACTTACCTCAGGCTAGCAGAGAAAGGCCTGGCCCCTCCACACCCCGCCACGTACCCCCACTTATCTGAGTACAAAGTCTCCCTGGTTCCAGCCTCTTTTAGAGCTGGAGGCTCTGCCGGCTGCTTCGAGCACCCAGATACCATCATGCAGCGCCTGGCACCTCTCCTGCTCTGCCTGGGCCTCTGGGCTGGGCTGGGCAGCACCGTCATCCCAGGCAGGAACTGGCCCCCGGAGCTTTCCCTGGAGGGGGGAAAGGGGGCACCTGGCAGAGCATGGGCTGCTCTAGGGAGGAGCAGGGACCACACTGCTCCAAGAGGGTTGATGAGGGCTCTGTGTTGGGGGTATCCCTGCCTTTTCTGGGGACATTGGGCTTGTTTTCCCAGGGGATTAAGGGTTTGGGGAGGGGGCGTGAGGTGCCGGTAACCCCCTCACCATGGCTTTGGCCACTTGGTTTCTGTGGCTTTGCACTCCCGGCTGTGTTTTCCTGGGGTGGAGGCAGTGGGACTGGATACCCCAGGATGTGAGAGTCCCAGGCAGTGGGTGCTGCTGAGCCAGCTCTGAGGGGAGCTGCTTGCTCACAGTGGAGGAGGAGGATCCATCCTTCTGGAACAAGCAGGCAGCCGAAGCCATCGAAGCCTCCTTCCAGCTGGAGCCCCGTTTGGTCCAAGCCAAAAACCTCATCATCTTCCTCGGGGACGGTGAGTGCTACCGGGCACCTCTCGGCGAGCATGGCTGGTGCCACCTGGAGCTGGGGTGCAGGGAGGGCTCCTGATCTGGAAGGCGACTCAGGACCACTCTCCTTGGGGCCAGGCTTCGGGGTCCCATCCCTCACGGCCACGCGGATCCTAAAGGCTCAGATGCAGGGGAAGCTCGGCCCCGAGACCCCTCTCTTCATGGATTCCTTCCCCTATGTGGCTCTCTCCAAGGTAAATACTCTCTGCCACAGGCACACGGGGAGGGCACATGGAGGGAGCCCGTGTGGGGCTTTGCCCTTGGGCATGGCATGGGGGGGGGCCTGAGCCATCTCCCACGACCTTGGCAGACCTACAACGTGGACCGGCAAGTGGCCGACAGTGCGGGCACAGCCACGGCGTATCTCTGCGGCGTGAAGGGCAATTACAAGACGATAGGAGTGAGCGCGGCTGCCCGCTACCAGCAGTGCAACACCACGGCGGGCAACGAGGTGATCTCGGTGCTGCAGCGAGCCCGCAATGCTGGTAATAGCAGGGACAGGGGGATGACTGGTGACGGGGAGGCTGGGAGCGGGCACCACGTGGGTCAGGAGCCGGGTGCGCAGGCTGACGCGGGCGCTGGGCGGCAGGGAAGGCGGTGGGCATCGTGACGACGTCGCGGGTGCAGCACGCGTCGCCCTCGGGTGCCTACGCGCACGTGGTGGACCGCAACTGGTACGCGGATGCCAGCATGCCGGCCGAGGCCCTGGATCAGGGCTGCAAGGACATCGCCTGGCAGCTCGTCCACAACGTTGACATCAACGTGAGTGCCTGGCGGAGCCACTCCTGCCACCCCAGTCCTCCCCATGGGACCCCTGTGACACTGGGCCGCTCTCCTCCCTCAGGTGATCATGGGAGGTGGACGCATCTACATGACCCCCGTGGGGACGCTGGACCCTGAGTATCCCAACGTCGCCAACACGAGTGGCGTGCGCCTGGATGGCGTCAACCTCATCGATGAGTGGCTGAACGCCAGGCCGGTGGGTGAGACGCAGCAATGGCTGTGCTGGTGGCCATCCCCTTGCGGGGGCTCAGCACCCACTGCCCCCCCAGGCATTGCCCACAGGGTGCCCGCTATGCCTGGAATAGGACGGAGATGCTAGCAGCGGCCGATGACCCCGAAGTGACTTATTTGATGGGTAACAACCCCTTCCACTCCCTTACTGGCCCTGGTGCCTGCCGGTGCTCAGCACCACGGCTGAGCCTGTCCCCTCCATGTGTCTCCCCTTCCCACTGCTGATCCCAGGGCTGTTTGAGCCCAGCGACTTCAAGTATGAAGTGCAGCGCAACACCCTTGTGGACCCCACACTCAGCGAGATGACGGAGACGGCCATCAAGATCCTGAGCAGGAACCCCAAGGGCTTCTACCTCTTCGTGGAAGGTATGTCAGGGTCAGTGGCACAGGGATGGCCGAGAGCCAGGGATGCAGGGCACTGAGGTGGGAAGGGGTATTGGGGCTGACACTGGTGCCCCCTCCATCCCATGCATGACACCCATCTGCAGGCGGCAGGATCGACCACGGCCACCACGAGGGCGCAGCCCACAAGGCGCTGACGGAGGCAGTGGCGTTCGATGATGCCATCGAGCGGGCAAGTGACCTCACGGACGAGTCGGAGACCCTCACTGTGGTCACTGCTGACCATTCGCATGTCTTCTCCTTCGGCGGCTACACGCTGCGGGGCAGCTCCATCTTCGGTAGGCAGAGGTGGGAGCTGGGTGCTCAGTGCCATGCCATGGGGGCATTTTTCTTCTCTTGGAAGCTCCATCTTGGCCATCCAAGGCCTTCAAGTGATGCTGAGAGCAGGGCTGGGCACTGCCTGCTTGGGCCACCTTGGTTGTGCCCAGCCGAGTTCATCCAGGGGCTTCTGGCTGATGGCCCCAATCTCCACTCCACAGGCCTGGCCCCCAGCAAAGCCACTGACGGGATGTACTACACGTCCATCCTCTACGGCAACGGACCCGGCTACCCAGGGACGTCCGGCAGGCCCGATGTGAACAGCAGCGAGGCCGGTGAGGGCACGGGAGCCACGGCCTGTGGCGGGATGGTGCTGGCTGCCGGTGCTGCCCTCTCCTCACCCCCTGTTCTCCTCCTCAGAGATGTACGACTACAAGCAGCAGGCGGCCGTGCCCCTCAATTCTGAGACCCATGGCGGCGAGGACGTGGCCATCCTGGCCAAGGGCCCCATGGCGCACCTCTTCCATGGCGTGCAGGAGCAGACCTACGTGGCCCACGCCATGGCCTACGCTGCCTGCATCGAGCCCTACACCTCGTGCCGCCAGCTGAACTCGGCACCCAGCGCCCAGGCCAGCCCCCTGGCCCTGCTCCTGGCTCCCCTCCTCCTGCTGCGCCTCCTCTGCTAGCCCCACTGCCCCTTCGGAGTGCTGCTGGACAGCAGCTCTTTGGAGCATCCCTGGTGCGGATGCGACAGCTGCTCCCCTGAGAGGACCTTGGTGTTCAATAAATGTGGCCTGTGATGACCAGCAGCAGGAGAGACGTGTTTCAAGCCTCCTGCATGGATGGGGACTGGTGCTATTTACACACATGTCTCTCTGTCACCCGTGACCAGGTAGGAGTGTGTCCCACCACTTCACCCCCCTCACAGCACCCAGTCACAGCCCTGGCCACCTGCCCTGTATGTCCAGTGCTTTATTGACCAGAAACAGCAGCGAAAAAACACAGCGCGCGTCCATGCGCAAGCACCACAGCTCTCCGTGCTCCGAGCAGGCCGGTGTCGCCCCGGCCCGGAGCCCCACTGGGCTCTGCCCTCCCAGGCAGGAGTGATGCTCATGGACAGGATGGGGCTGGCACAGGGTTTTCCCCAGGGAGGAGATGGAAAGTGCGAGTTGGGGGGGAGGGAGAGCCTTTGGCACTGACAGTCTCGAGGAGTCTGGATGAGGACTGTGATGTTGAGCCCAGCGCTGTGCTGGATGTTTTAGGGCCTGGAGAAGGGTTCGGGAGGGGTGAATGGAAAGGGGGTGTCCAAGGATGTCCTGCCTCTGCCCTTCCATGGGGACTCTGGGATGCAGCCCGCTCCGACACAATCCTTGGGTACCGGGTAGGAAGGGATGAGCAGGAGGTGGATGACTCTGGAGTGGAGCTGCCACCAATCCCAAGTGCTTCCATCCAGCCTCTCCTGGGGGAAGTAACCCCCTGTGGCACCCAGGAGTGCCATGAAGCTGGAGCAGGGACAGGCAGAGGGGACAGGGAGGGGAGCTGCTGCAGGGTGGCACTTGGGCACAGGCGGCAGGAGGGGGCCAGCCGGCCGGGGGTTCCTCCTCACCACACCGAGCACTTGCGAGCTGGGTTCATGGGTGAGTTCTTGGGGCAGTGGAAAACCCGGCCGAACTCCTCGAACTGTGAGACGCTGCCCAGGACCCTGGTGGGAGACGGGGCAAGTCTCAGAGCTGGGCACCCCCAGCCCTGGCCCTGCCAAGACCCAGCCCTGGGGAAGATGTCCCCATTCCACCCCCTTCCCCATCTCCCCCCACCTCCCAATCCCCCTGCAATGCCAACCCCAGATTTAACCCTTTCCTGCTCTCCCCAGCACCCAAAAAGGGGCAATTTACCCTCCTGGGTCACAGCAGCACAGGTTTTGCCAACATTTCAGATACCTGTAGTGCTCTGGGGCGTGTTTGTCCGTCAGCACCTGCAGGTAGATGGACTGGGATCGCCTCTTGATGCACCAGTTCTGCAGGGAAGAATGGTCCCGGAGTGGGAGCCGGGGGATGCCCGGTGAGGGACTGGGCAGTGGTGCCCTGGTTGTACTTGTTATTGCCAGGTCTCCTGCGAACACAGGGGCTGCAGGTGGGGTGGGAGAGCGCGGGGGGCTCACCTGGGCGAAGGCGATGAAGAAGAGCTGGTCGTGGGTGTATTTCAGGTGGTGCAGGGGGTGCTCGGGGCCGTGCTCCCGCACCCACTTCTGGTAGGCCTGGAGAGCAAGGCCATGGCCTGGTTGCCAGCCCACCCCGCCGTGCCCCTGACGCGGCAGCGGCTCCGGGACACCCCGGCGAGGGCACTTACGTAGTAGGCGAGCTTGAGCCCCCCCATGTCGGCGATGTTCTCCCCCAGGGTGTGTTTGCCATTCACCTGTCCAGAGAGGAGACACGGGGTGAGCAGAGATGGCCCCAGCCAGGATCCTTCTCCTTTCATCACCAAGGCACCAAGACGGTGCCTCAGTTTCCCCTGGGACCCAAGGAATTTCCCAGCTGAGGTGTGATGAGTTGTTGGTCTCAGCTGGGCGTGAGCACAGCTTGCTCTGTTCAACTTGGCTCTAGGGAAGGAGCAACTCTTTGCAGTGGGGACCCCCGAAGTGGGGCAGTGGGTCTGGGTAGTGCCTGGGAGGTGAGACAGGGGTCTCACCCGCTGGTTGTAGACAGTGAAGTTGTCGTAGAGGTTGACGATGCACTGGGCCTTCTTCAGGAACTTGCTGTATGACGTGTCTGTCCACCAGTGCACCAGGTTCCCATGCCGGTCGTACTGTCCCCCTGCCAAGACAATCACCAGCCACGGGTCATGCCAGGGGACCCAGGTGTTCTGTCACCCCCTCCTCCCACCCCAGGGCAGGGTGTGTGTCACTCACCCCAGTCGTCGTAGCCGTGGGTCAGCTCATGCCCGATGATGGTGCCGATCCCACCATAGTTCAGAGATCTGGTGGTGGTGGGGAGAGCTGAGACAGTGAAGGGCATGATGCCGGCCATACCCCAGCCCCATAATGCCCCGGCACCCCCAAACCAACCCATGGCCCTGCCCCAACCCCTACTCACTGCGGGAATTCGGGATCGTAGAGGGTCGGCTGTAGGATGCCGGCAGGGAATACTGGGAACACAGGAGAGCATTGAAGGGAGGGGGAACCTTGCACTCTGGCACCAACATCATGGCCTGCACTGGGCCACCCTATGCCGTGCCCACCCCTCCTCCCTGCCCCATGGCTGTGGGGCTGAGCCCAGCTGGCTGGTGGCCCCTGTGCCAGGCTCCAGGCTGGCAGGGCTGGGGGGCAGCTCCTTACCCATCTGGTTCTTGTTGGGCAGGTAGTAGGCGTTCAGAGCCTGGGGGGGCAGCAGCCACCTGCAAGGAGACATGAAGGTGCCAGGAGTGCCAGGCGCCCAGGGGTGCAGGAAATGCCATCCGTTTGCATAGTCAGGGCGCTTGCACTGTGCCCTCTTGTGTGTGCCCCATGCGGTGCTGCCCAGTGAGCATTGCTGGGGCTGTGCCATGCTCGGCTTTGCCACCCACATCTCCCCGGGCTCAGCGATACCCACGCAGATTTGTCCACCTCCTGCCGGATCTTCTTCACCGAGAGCCTGATGCTGAAGGCGATGCTGTTCAGGATGTTCTTGAAATAGGTCTTCTCATCCACCTCGAACTGTGGGGGTGCATGGCACGTCCATGGCATGGGGACCCCTGTGTCCCCAAGCTCCTGCGTGTGTCCCTCTGCTCCCAGGGGATTTGGGAACAGGATGTGGGTTTGTGGCCATGGGCGGTACATGGCACATGTCTGTGTGTCCCCTGTCCCCAGGAAGGTCCATGCACCATGTGCACAGGCATGTCCCCATGCCACCATCCTTCAAGGCAGTGCCCTCATGAGCTGCTCTATTTCTGGTGCCTGGTCTCTGGGTCCCTCAGCATAAGGGCACCCCCAGCTCTACAGTGAGGATGGAGATGAGCCCCGCATGTGGGGAAGGAGACCTCAGCTCAGGCTCCAGGACAGCCCAACACTCACATGTGGCCATGACCGTGTGGGAAGCTACTGGAGAATAGCTTGTTCAGAGGCAGAGCCTCCCCATCTCCTTTGCCCCACAGCTGCACCACACCAAAGCGGGCATGGGGCCCGTCTCCCACCGCCCACATGAATCTGGGCCACCCCTTGCCTCATACTCCTTGTCGATGGCCTCCGGTGTTAGCAGGAAATCCGGGTAGCCGATCATCACCATCATGTACTGCAGCTGCAGGGAGAGCAGGCAGCTGGGCAGGGACCTCCCAGCCCTGGTACCCCAGTGCTGGGGCCAGGTGGGCAAGGGCAGAGGTAGGTGCTCATGGATGAGGCACAAAGGTCTCCGTGCCCCCTGCCTGCAGCTGCTACCTTGGCCCTGGCTGCTCTGCGGGTCTCTTCATCCATCCAGTCCAGCTCATCCAGGCGCTGGTCCAGGATGTACTTGATGTCCTCCACCAGCTGCTGCACCTATGGCAGGATCCATGGCAGGTCACCATGGGCACAGCCACAGCCTCTTCACCACCTGTCACCCCATGCCAACATCCAGGTCACTGCCACGATGCCTTGGGAGGGCCTGCTGGCATCACTGGAGAGCATTGGCCTGAGGAAGCCACCCCTAGTCCCAAGCAGTCATGGTGCACTGCCAAGGACTGGTCACCTTGGCGAAGCACCACAGTGCCATGTCCCTGGGCAGCAGCACCTACCTTGGCCTTGCTGGCAGAGGAGAAGTACTCCTCGACGAAGAGGGCACCCAGGGCCATGCCAAAGTGCTTATTGGCCTGGCTCAGGCAGATCTTTCCCCGCTCGAGCTGCTTCTCGTTGCCCTCCATCTCCTTGGAGAGCTCATGGATGGCGTCGCGGAAGGGTGTTGAGAGGTGCTCACTCAGCACCACCACGATGCGCCACAGCATGTAGTTGTGCAGGATCCTGGCCAAGACGGGCCAGGATCAGACCGCCTTGGCTTGGCACCTTGGCAGGCCTGCCACATGGAGCACGTGCCGGGGGGCACATCAGTCCGTGCAGCTGCCTGGGACTCTGTCAGGACTTATCTAGGGTCCCCAAGACAGACCTGGCCTCCCTGGGATGAGGGCGATGAGGGGACCAGTCCCATCCCCCGCATGTCTCCCCATTGCCACCTTCTTGCCAGGCTGAGCAAGGTGCCACCCCACAAGCCTCCCCACCCCATGTCCTGCAGCAAGGAGACCCCCTAAATGCCGGGGCAAAGCAGCCCCAGTGCCAGTTTCATGCCCAGGGCTGACCCTGAGTGGTGGTGGGGTCTGGACAACACAGGCATCTGGGGCACAGCCTGGCATCTGCACAGGGGGACACTGCTGAGCCAGGGCATGGGGCCATCATCTGGGGGTCCCCCAGGCAGGCTGATGTCTGTGGTCCTGGTGTGGAGAAGCCCTGGCACACAGAGGGGTGTCAGCATCCCCTCACCTGCTGGGTGTCACGCGGATGAGGTCGGACACCTTGTGCATGTAGTCGGTGGCCAGCAGCACCACCTCCTCGTCCTCCGAGAAGTTGTCGTGGAAGATGCGGTCCAGCAAGCGCTTCCACTTGAGCTGGCAGGGTGGGCAAGGGGCACCGTCAGCACAGGCATGGGGACACTCTCCCATGTCACTCCCCCAGCACCCCTTTTGCCAGGAGTGAAACCTGGCCCTAGAGTGGCACCTGGCACTTAGGAAAGTGTGGGCTGGACTTTTACCCTTCCTGGGCAGACTGATGAGGGGCTGTTGGGGCAGAGGGGGCATTTCTGGGGGCATGGAGGCACTGGGGTGTGTGTAGTGCTGTGTTACAGCAACTGTGGGGCAGATTTGGCAGCAGGGAAGAACCTGGGGGTACAGGGGCAGCTGTGGGGCATGGTGCAGGCAGGGGATGGGGTGGTGGGGTGGGTGCAGAAGTGCTCACAGTGGGGGTGATGCGCTGCAGCTCGCCCAGGGTCACTTTGTGGTACATGGTGCTGACGTCCCTCCGCACGTCATCGTACTCTGACACGGTGATCTGCACAGGGTGGGCACGGCCGTGCTCCTGGGGCCCAGCTCCTGGGCTGTTGACCTGCATCCCACACGGCTCACCGCCCCACGTCCCCCTGTGCTGCCAGCGGTGTCCCCAAAGTCAGGGCTGGGGTCCCCAATGGCTGGGCATGGCATTCCCCTACGAGCTGGAGTCCCTAAGGACTAGGGTGGGGGCGTCCCCGAGGGCTGCTCATAGGGTTCCCAGTGGCTGTGGTCCCTCATGGCTGACTATGGAGCAGGGTGTGGGGGGAGGTATCTCCAGGGTCTGGGCTCCCCAGGGTCTGGGTATGAGGGTCCCCAAAGGACTGAGGTGGTTGTCTCAAGGGTTGGATATGGGGCAGAGGGGCCTCCCTTGGGCACAGGAGTCCTCAAGAGGCTGGAGGAGATTCTCCAGGGGCTGGGACTGTGGTCCCCAGGGCTCAGGAATCCCCAAGGCTTGGACATATGTGTCGCCAAGGCCCCAGGGGCCCCTGCCTCACGTTGGCGAGGTGCTGCTCCAGCTGCAGGATCTCCTGGGCCTTCTGCTCCACATGCTCAGCCCCCAGGAGGGTGAGCAGCTTCTCCATGAACACCCGGTACGCAGCCAGGATCTGCCAACGCAGGGCTGGTGAGGGCCACCTGCATCGCCCGGCTGGGTGCCCTCCTGAGCCCTGGGGGCCCTGGCTGAGCCCTGGTGCCCCTGTCACCTTCTCGCTTTCCTCATCCTGCCCCAGATACAGGGTCCGTTCAGGCAGCGTCAGCCCATCCTGGTCAATCTGCGGGAGGAGATGGGGCAGCAGGTGAGTAGGACCCCCATGGCAGGGGTCAGGGCACCCCAGAGTAAGGGACCATGCTGGGCAATAGGGTTATTGCAGGGCTGCAAAGGGCAGAAAGCTCCCAAATAACACCTTGGGGACCCTCCCATAGCACAAGAGCACCCTGGGGCACCTTCTCCCCAGCACAGACACCAGTGGGCCCCAGCTCCCCTACCTGCCACTGTGGCACAGGGATCCTGGGGGGGCAGCAGGGATGAGCCCCAGAGCACAGGCTCACACCCCCGCACAGAGCCGTGTGTGCGCACACACACCCACCACTGCCCCGCCTCACATACACCCCTTCTCATACACACACACACACACACACAACCCCTCATACCCCTCTCTTGCCCACAGGACCTCGCTGTCACACCCATCGCGTACCCCATGGCACCCATGTCACACCTGCGCCCTCCCGATCACAGCCCAGCAGACGCACAAAACCTTTCCCTTTGACACATGCTCCCTCTAGTGTGCGCACACCCGCACACAAGCACACCCGCACTCCCGCACACCCGCACACCTCTTCCCCATCGCACCCTCTCGCCTTCTCACTGCTCTGCACACACACACACCCCTGCCTCACACCCATCACACACACACACACACCCGTCTCACATGCACAAGCTCACAGGGAATAAGAGGGACAGGATGCCCCAGCTGTGCCTGGCACCGTTTCCCCTCCCTGCCCACCGTCACGTCCCCATAGTGCCATCACCGTGCCCGAACCATACCCACCACTGTCCCTGCCATACCATTGCTGCACCACCACTGTGGCCCCATTACACCCATCCCTGTGTCACTGATGCACCCACCACCATGTCCCTGGTGTGCCCCCACAGCGCTCCTGCTGCACCCACCAGGGTGCCCCCATTGTTCCACCCCAGTGCCTGCCATTCAGTTGCCCAAATAAAGCCCCTTTGTGCCTCCAGGTACAGTGTGGCACCAGGCTTGCCCCGACGAGATACAGATGACCGCCTTGATGCCAGGGTGAGGGGCTCGAGAGTGCCCCGTGCTGTCTCACCAGCAAGGCACCACTCTCCTCTGTATGTCCCCTTACCCGCATCCTCCTTGCCTGCCTAAGAGGTGACAACCTGTCACAGCACAGCCTCCTACCACTAGCACAGGGACAGTGTGACATTAGGGCCCCGTGGTGAGAATATGGGTGGGCTGTAGCACCCCGCGTTGCCCCCATACCCCTGTCACCTGAGCTGAGGACAGCGGGGCCCCTGGCAGGAGCAACCCTCACCCGGATGACGTAGCGCGAGGTGTTCCTGTCGTCCAGGCTCACGGTGAGCGAGAAGAGCACGGCGGCGCTGTAGACCCCCTGCGTCTTGTAGAGCAGCTCATTGAGGTCGCTGTGGCCCGGCGCGGCGTCCCAG